CATGATCATACCTCACTGCAGCCTCAAACTCCTGGGCTCAAGAGATTCTCTTGCCTCAGCCTCTCAAGTAGCTGGGACTACAGGAACACACCACCACACTCAGCTAATTAAAAAAAAAATTTTTTTTTGTAGAGACGAGGTCTTACTACATTCCCTAGGCTGGTCTTGAACTCCTGGCCTCAAGCAATCTTTGTGCCTTGGCATCTTAATGTGCTGGGATTACAGATGTGAGCCACCACACCAACCTTAAACCAGAATTTGATACCAGCTCATATCCACTAGGATGGCCAAAATGAAAAGAGAAAATACAATTATTGGTGAAGATATGGCTCATCTGAAACTCATACATGTTGATAGGAGTGTAAACTGATATAATTATTTTTGAAAACTGTTTGGCCATACCTACGAAACCTAAATACACAGATACCCTATAATTAAGCAATTCTATTCCTAGAAGTATCCCCAAAAGAAATACCATAGGCTGTTCTCCAAAAGATATGTACTATTATAGAATGTATAATATTAACAACTCTATTCATAAAGCCCCAATGGGGCTAAGTTGGTGGGGTTGGTTTAGAAACAACCAAAGTGTCTGTCAAAGTTGAATAGAGAAATAAATTGTGGCATATTCATACAATGGAATGCTATACAGCAGTGAGACCAAACAAACTACAAAAACAACATAGATGAATTCTACAAACTTGGTGTTCAGCCATAGAAGAATGAATACATATGATACCACTTATAGTAAGACATGCACAGTTAATTTGTATTAGAGGTTAGGACACCATTGTAATCCCAGAGGGAAAGCAGTAGTAACTGAGATTGTATGAGGGTGATTCTGAGGTGACAAAATGTTTTATTTCTTGATTTGGGGGTGGATTAAATGGGTTTGTTAACTTTTTAAAGGCTCACAAAACTGTATCTTTATGCTAAATGTATTTTCTCATATGTAATTTTTAATGACAATTTAAAAAATGACAGCACCTACAATGTAGAGGAAACTTGGAGCTAGAAAGCTTGGAACCCAGGTAAGAGACTTGTTTCTTTTTTTTTTTTGAGACGGAGTTTCGCTCTTGTTACCCAGGCTGGAGTGCAATGGCGCGATCTCGGCTCACCGCAACCTTCTGCCTCCTGGGTTCAGGCAATTCTCCTGCCTCAGCCTCCTGAGTAGCTGGGATTACAGGCACGCGCCACCATGCCCAGCTAATTTTTTATATTTGTAGTAGAGACGGGGTTTCACCATGTTGACCAGGATGGTCTCGATCTCTTGACCTCGTGATCCACCCGCCTCGGCCTCCCAAAGTGCTGGGATTATAGGCTTGAGCCACCGCGCCCGGCCGAGACTTGTTTCTTTTGGGTCCCTAGAGGATGCAATAGTTCTTGGATTCCAGAGAATGAATTGTTGAAAATAAGATTACCTAGACTTACGGCATGCTGTGTTTATGTCTGTCAGTTAATGCCCTGGTCTCTAGAAAATTCTTATGTGAATGTTTGTTAAATTGGAATTTAAAAATTGGGAAATAAAAATGATAAATTTAGAAAAGCCTCATTTCTCCATGTCAGGGCCAGAGTGTTAAAGACTGCATGTTCCGTGCCTCAGGATTAGCTTGGTGTTGTATGCCACAGCACAAGATTAAGGTAAATCTTGGGGAGCCAGAGCCACATGGTCCAGTCTCCCCTTTAGTGCCAATCTTAAAAACTGCATTTCCCAGCCAGCTTCCCTTGCTGTTAAGTATGGCCAAGTGACTGAGTTGTAGCGAAGAGAACTAGTGTAAGTGATATGTAACACCTGCAGACCTTGTTTAGCAAAGCCTTCCTTGTATGTTTCGCCGTTAAAAATAAAATAAAATAAAATTCTCTACCTGGAAGAAATGGAGATAAACCTCAGGGTGATCTTTGGAAGCACATGTCAAAGTTGATAGGGCTCCATTGGCTTGGTCCCTGAAAAACTTCATGGAGTAGAGTCCTTCCTCTTCCCAGGCCTAGTCTGAAACTACAATGGACTATCACATAGTTAATACCAGGAACTTAAACTTTGGAATTTCTTGGTCCCAGAAGCAGACATTTTCCTAAATAATATATTAAGAATGTCAGGGATTCCTTCTAGAATTTCAGCTCGTATTACTCTTTAGTCCACAGCAGTACAATGGCCTCTCCCAGCACTTACCTCTTATCTATCATAGGTCATTAACTAATGTAAATTAACATAGCTTAAATTATATATATATATATATATTTTTTTTTTTTTTTGAGAAAGGTTCTCACTGTGTCACCCAGGTTGGAATACAGTGGCATGATCATGGCTCACTGTAGCCTTGACCTTCCTGGTTCAAGCAATCCTCCCACCTCAACCTCCTGAGTAGCTGGAATTACAAGCATGCACCACTAGGTTTGGCTAATTTTTAAATTTTTGTAGAGATGGGGTTTTGCCATGTTGCCCAAGCTGGTCTCAAACTCCTGGGCTTACGCCATCCACCCGCCTAAGCCTCCCAAAGTTCTGAGATTACAAGCATGAGCCACTGCACCTGGCCACTTTTAGAATGTTTTGGTGTATTCACAGTTACATTTTTTCACACGGAATATCCTTGATCACCTTTTGTTTTGTCCCAATCTTACTGACTGACGTGATCTTTCTGTAATTTTTTTCCTTATCATTTGCTGGCCAGGGGTTTAGGGCCATTTCTGCTTTGTATATTTTGTGCCGTTCCTATCCTCAATTCACTGTCTGCATACCTTCAGCTCTAATTCTTTCTTCAGCTCGTTGTCATTTCCCCAAAGCCAACAGTAACCTCTTAATTGCCTTATCCAATGGGCTCGTTTAGGTCGTTGTCACATTGGATCTCTTTGATACATTTGATGGTGTTGATGTACTCCTGAAACTCTCAACTCCCTTCATCTTCTGGATAGCACCACAGGCTTCTAGTCCTCCTGTCTTTCTGACCGTTCCCTCTTTGTCTACTTAATGGGCATTTCTTCCTCTGCCTTCCTCTACAGATCTTGAGGTTACATGATGTTTCATTTTCATCCCATATTTTTTCCCCTCCTAAGCAATATTGTCTGTGCTTATCGTTTTAACTCTCACCTATGGGCTGATAGCTGCCAAATACCTCTCTCCTATCCTGACCTCTCTGCCATCCAACTCCAGGCTATGTAACATCGTCACACGGAAGCCTCATAGGTATTTCAATCTAAACATGTGTGATACCCATCACCATATCCCTCAACCCTGTCTCATTTTTTTGTTTAAGATTTTACACAGGAATTCCCCCTTCCTCCCTGGATCCTCTTACTTCCTACAGGTCACTAGCTCCTGATTTACCTCTAAAATATTTTCTCAACATGCCTCATTTCTTCTATCTTTATTATAATTTCAGTCCATGCTATTTTTCTTATTTCTCTCCTGGTCTACTGCAATAGCTTTGGTATAGGCTAACCTGTGTTTTCCTCAAATTCCTATGTCGAAGTCCTAACCCCCAGGTACTTCTGAATGGCCTTATTTGGCAATGGTCACTGCAGATCTAATAAGAGATCATACTGGAGTTGGGTGGACCTCGTCTAGTATGTGTCCATATAAAAAGGGGAAATGTGGACACAGACATGCAAACATGGAGAATTCCATCCCGAGACTGGAGTGACGCTGACACAAGCCAAGGAATTACCAGAAGCCAGGAGGGAGCCCTAAGGCAGAGCCCTCCCTAGATGTTGCAGAAAGCCTGGCCTTGCTGACACCTCCATCTCCCACTTCTGGCTTCCAAGACTTTGAGACAATGTATTTCTGTTGTTTAAGCCACTCAGTTTGTGGTATTTTATTACAGGAGCCCTAGAAAATGAATACAAACTTCCTTTCTTACTTTATTTGCTTCCAGTTTCCCCTCCGATAGCTCCCTGCAGACTGAGTGAGTGATCTGAAAGGTTTGTGTAAGCCTGACAGTCCCCAAATTAAAAACAGCTCCCCACCCCCTCAACCTCTCAACCCCCAGAGTATGAATCTGGTTTACAAAATTCTTGCCTAACTCAATTCATGCTTTTCTCTCCAGCAGTGATGAAATGTTGGGCTCGGACTAAATACTTGATGTTATTTCAAGCTGTTGACCTTTGCCCATTTCCCAACCCTAATGCCCATTCATACTCCTACCTATTTTTCCCATCTTTTAAAATTCAGTGCACACATTCCTTCTACAAGGAAACCTCCCCCTGATATTCCCACACTCTGTGTCCTACCCTACCAACAACCCCCCACCACCAGCATCAGCTTCCTGGATGGGGTAGGTGACCTTTCTCTGATTGCTATGCATTCTCTGCATAATTGACTTATGATAGTTCCTGCAGTTTAGTAAAATGATCTCTGCATCTGTTTGCCCCATGAAGTTGTGAATTCTTAGGTGCTCTGTAATTGTGTGTGTGCATATGTGTATGTACTCATAAATAGGTATTAAATAAGATCACTTCTCGAAGGAGTTGGTAGGGGGCGGTAGAGGAGGTAGGCAGCTATGGTGTGGAGTGAATTATGGATAGGTTGGTATGACTATCCCGCACTAAGAGGCTCATTATCTCCAAAGTTTCTTTCATTTGCCTTACTCTTTTACCCTCAGAGAAGCTGGAGTCGGGGGCTGGGGAAGTACAAAAAGAAGATTTCCCCTACTCCCACCCTTAGTGCCCCACCTCAATTCCTTGGAAAGAATGCCGGACTGGCCCACGCCAGCAAGTCATCCCATACTAAATGGCCCAGTGCCTGCCATCTAATGTACTGAATGCCGTGGGAGCTCCAAAGTCATGCAGCCTTTTGTGGGGAAGGGGCAGGGGTTGCGCGGGAGGCACACGGAATGAAGTAATATATTCAACGCTAATGCCTGAATTCTCTGAGAAGCTTCCCACGGCAGCTGAGCTCTCCCTTACTCCCGCCCCAAAGGCATTCAGGCCCTCCACTCTCCCCTCCCTCTGCTGTAAAAGCCCCGGGTCCTTTCTCCAGACCCTTCCTTACCCTTCCGACCTCCTACCTGTCTGGATCAGAAGAAGGTAGACAAAAGGAGCGAGGCGCAGGGCCCTGGAGGCTCTGGACAGGGTTCCCCTTTCTCTCTTCATTTTGGGTGGCGTTCTCCAGCTCTGGTGCAGACAATTAGCATGATTTCTCCACTCTGGGCACGTCTCCTTTGTACCACTCGGAGTTTCTCTGCCCGAACACAACTCTGCCAACTTCCCTCTGAATACACAGAGCTCTGTGTATTGCTGGACTTGTTCTTTCCTCTCCCTCAGACCTGGCATTTTCTAGTTTCCAAGCCCTACATCCCCAGTTTGGAAGAGGGTATCTGCTTAGAAGATAATCTCCAACTCAGGTTCCAACATGGGGGCACCTACAGCCCAGCAGTTGGTTGCTTGTCTGTGCTGATCCCCACTACCAGGGGAGATGAGGATCGGGGCTCAGGACACTGAGCTGGGACACACACTTAATTGGACCTTGTGTCCCAACCTACCCTGTCTCCACCTCACACTCCTTCTCCCTGAGGAGGAGGGTACATGCCAGGACAGACCTCCAATAAGCTCTGAAAAGGGAGGGAGAAGAGCTGTTAAAAAGCTGGAAAGTGAAAGACTCCAAAGAATTGCTGAAGAAATGGAAACTCCCGTTCCAACCCAAAGGAAGAAGACTGGAAAATAGCTTGAATTATATTACTTTTACATTTGACTTTCTCTAACTTGGAATTTTATCTTCTGTCATAGAATCACACAGATGATGGAGACCTCTTTCCAGAAGCCACTCTGTTCATTCCCCTGCTTCCAGCCAATTTTCTAGAATGTGTTAGAGCAAAATGAAGGTAATGTCCTAACAGCCAACGTCCTGGGGTTCTCTGTTATCAGCTTAACAGCCTAGCTGCGCCCTCCTGTCTCAAGGCTGTGAAAAGGAGAAACACCCTAGCTCTACACTGACCCCCATTCACATGTTCACACCTTTTCGTGAGGGCGGCCAAGGGAATGGATGCCTAGTGATTGTGATCTAGGTGGGATGGGCTCGCAACCTCTTTCAGCTCCAATTTCTCATCTGTAAAATGGGGAAAAGAATCGCTTCCTTGGGAAGGATTGTTGGGAGGATTGATGAAGATTTGGCACAGAAGATTACCTAGCAAATCTTTGTTACAGAGATGACATTTTAAACTTTTAAAAAATTGCCTTTCTTGCTTCTTTTTTCATTCATGCAGGGATCTTTACATTTTGGGGAGATCAAACTTCACAACTTCCTTCTTGGTCATCCCAAACCCTGGTCTTGGTTTTGTAAATGCAGAAATTATCTCTCTAAATATTCTCTTTACATGCTGGAGAAAGCCTAAGTAGGTCAGCTTTCTAGAACTGAAGCATTATTACATAGCCCTTCTGAGCCAAGTCAGAAGGAGAAGAGTTGGGAAGCACCGAACTTCACAGAACTCTCTGAAAATATTCGGAAATATATAAAGGGGATTCTTTTTTCCCTTTGCATCTTTGTGTTTATGACTTTTCCTTAGACAACTCCAGGCACCTTTCTTCTACTGGAAGAGTTAATGTTATTATAGCAGGTACACAAAAAGAGTCAGTATTCAGCTTCTGACATTTAAAATAGTATTTCAAAGTTCATAGCAAGATGAAAGGCTTAGCCAGTCTTTGTAAGGGACAAAAGAGTATTCTAATTTCTTTTATCTACCCCTTGACTTATCATGGAGCAGCCTGTGGACTGGAGCACAGAGTCCTTCTAGAGTGTGGATAAATGGCCCCTTTGCCTGTGATGTCTAGGCCTTGAGGCTTATGAATGGGAGTAAAGGGAGGATAGGATATAGTGTTTGGGAAATAAAAAAACCCTGAAGTTTGCTCCTGTTATCCTGAAGCACTGTGGAAAGAAAAATGTGCTAGAGGGAGACTAAGAGGATCTAAGTTCTCAATATCCCTACTTCCTGAGCCACCCAGAGGTGGCTGTTTATACCTACATAGAATTTGCAAGGGCTTCTAGGTGCCCAGAAGCCCTGGAAGAGACTCAGAAGTGCTGAGAAGGTAGAGAACTGGCAGGAAACAGAAGACTGAGCAAAGGCACTGCCATGTACAGGGGTTCTGAGGCCAGAGGCAACACCTGGGGCCACCTTCTCCTGTAGGTGGGAGCCGCAGGTAGCTCATCAGGCCATGAAAGAATGTGGACTCTGAGTAGAGACCAGTGGAAAACCTGAGAATACTACACAAGTCCACAGACACTGTGTTCCCCTGTTGCCACAAGATTGCTTCAGCCACACCACCTATATTTACCCCAACTCTTAGTAGAGAGGAGTTGGGGTTGGAAGAGGATGTTGGAAAGACTGCTCGAGCAATTGCCTGAGCTATCCAGGAAGAGACTGAGCTACCTAAAGACAGTGTGAAAATGGTTGGATCAGACTGGGCTTACTGAGATGGAGTGACATTTTCCTCTGCTACCCTGGGGGGTGAGAGGCTCATGTGGAAGATCACAGCAACTACAAAGACATAAAGGCATTCCCTTTCCTTTGTGTGTCTGAATGTACAAGGAGCAGTTTTGCAATCCTGCTTCCAGTGACTGAGTAGGCCTTTAGAAACTTATAATCATCTGCTTATGTGCCTTTCTCTCCGAAGAAATAGAGAGCTCTTTGATTTAAGAGCCATCTTGTATGTCTCTCTATCCCTAGTACGTAATACGGGGCAGGGCACATAGTAGGTGCTCAGCAGACAGTAGTTGAGTATTGGATGGATGAGCCCTTGCCCTAGCTCCTTTAAAGGGGCTTCTCAAGCAGCTGGACAACTATGGGTGGGGGAGTGAGCAAGCGAGTGAGGCCACAAAACAATGACAGAACAGTTTGTGGACACACATGAGGGATCTCTCGGGAATTTCCAGAAATAATCGGGGCTCACTTTGAGTGGGGACACTGATCCAATAGGCAATTGACTTTCAGAAAGATAGGGTAACAGCCTCACACATAACACAGAGTGTTTATCTCAGCTGTCTTGGCTTGTCTTAATGTTATCCTTCCTTGTGTTCTTTGAGTTTTTTGCTCTGGGTGTGTCTGTCTCATATAATTGTTGATGATGCTGGCTGGTTTTTTAAAAAGGGATATTCTGACTATTAACGCTACATTTCTTTAATGTCAAAAATATATTTATACTTATTAGTTTGCATGTCCAATTTTTTTATCAGAAAGTGTGGTTACTGTGGCCATTTCCTCATGAGCCTGCAAGCCTCTCTGGAGCAGGGAATGTAATTCTTTATCCCCCAGATCTCCTCATGGGGCCCAATTCTGAGCTCTGCATAATGAGGCTGCTCCAACAATGGTGTTGAAAAACTGCTTGACTGATGGCAATCATCCCTTGCTGAGCCAAGGCCCACAGCCCTGCTTTCTCTGAGCACTCCGACAGATTCATTTCTGAGGCACTGTCCTCTTCTGAGCAGCATGGCCCAGGTCTCCGGGCCCCTTCACTGCACACAGTTGCTTCAGAATACTCCTTATTTGGAAATCCCTCTGGGGCTCTGGAATCCGGACTCCTTGTCCCAGAACTGGTGGCAGCTTTGCCTGCTGGTCCTCATGCCTCTGCACTGACCACCCAGACAGAGACCCTACAGCTTAGGATGGAGCCCCTCAACACACACCCATCCACCAGCAGAAACTCAGATGTATCTGTCTCTAGAATGGGAGGAAGAAGAAGCTAGTGATTTTTTTAAATTGCACTTTAAGTTCTGGGGTACCTGTACAGATCATACAGGATTGTTACATAGGCATACATATGCCATGGTGGTTTGCTGCCTCCATCCCCCCGTCACCTACATTAGATATTTCTCCTAATGTTATCCCTCCCCAATCTCCCCACCCCCCTGCTATCCCTCCCCAGCCCCCCTCCTCCCAACAGACCCCAGTGTGTGATGTTCCCCTCCCTGTGTCCATGTATTCTCATTATTCAACTCTCATTTATGAGCAAGAACATGCGGTGTTTGGTGGAAGCTAGTGATTTCAACTGAATCAGCATCCTATGCAAACGTCTGTAGGAGCTGGCCAAAACAACAAAGAAACAAATAAACAAATAAAAAAGGAGGCTAAGAAACTGTAAAACTGAATTCTGTCTCCCAAGAACTAAAGGTCTTTTAACAGTCACAGAGTAGTGGACTTACTGTGCAGCAACAGACATTTGAGATAAGCTTGTCTCATTTCTTCATTTGTCAGATGAGGAAACCAAGGAATAGCAGGGTAAGTAATTTGCCCAGAGGCAAATCTACTGATGTACCCAAGACCCTGACATTACTTAAAAACAAATGAACAAGAAAAAAATCATTTAAAAAATAGTTACTAGTAAAGGCAAGAAAAAGATAACACACACATGAATGACATGTGAATAAGTACCATTTTAAATAATTCTACTATTAGAGGTAAGAGTGTTCCCACCCACCTGGCCTGTTCCTCTGTCTCCAGGGAATAATGATAATACTACAAAAGAGGTTTAGAAATTGCCCTTACTAATACTATCCCATCAGTGGTGATTTTTATGTTTAGCATGCCTCCTCCTCCCCTTCATTCATTTCCTGCTATTAATTGAGCCATATCTGTCTCCTCCATTAAATTGTGAATCATTGTTAGTAGCAGAATGAGAGAAAACCTTCCAACCAATGGCACCAAAATTCCTGTGATGAGGGAATTTTCTTTTCTTTTTCTTTTTTTAAGACAGAGTCTCACTCTATCACCCAGCCCGGAGTGCACTGGCGTGATCTCGGCTCACTGCAACCTCTGCCTCCCAGCTTCAAGTGATTCTCCTGCCTCAGCCTCCTGAGTAGCTAAGATTACAGACATGCACCACCACGCCCAGCTAATTTTTGTATTTTTAGTAGAGATGGGGTTGCACCATGTTGGTAAGGATGGTCTTAAACTCCTGACCTTGTGATCCACCTGCCTCTGCCTCCCAAAGTGTTGGGATTACAAGCATGAACCACTGTGCCTGGCTAGAATTTTCTGTAGCAAGGAAGAGAGCTTGATATGCCACATGGAGTAGAAGGTAAGACCTTGAGCATTAAGAGTCAAGGAACAAAAACATAAATTGCTCCTCATTAGAAATAAACAGGAATTTGGGGGCAAGGAGAGTGCAGAGAGGAGAGAGATGAAGACAGGGAGAGGGGATGAGAGATCAACATGGTGGGCAACTGAAGAAAATTTAAGAGCAGCTTGCATTGTTACACTGTATACCTACCCTCCTTTATCTTCTTCAAAACTTCTTCAACTTGAAAAAACTTCTTCTTCAAAACTTTACTACACTCAAATGCAGTATATGTGTGTGCCTCTAGCCAAAAGAATATGGCAGAGGTGATGGGATAGCCACTGTCTTCATTAGGTTACAATATAGAAGACACAGACCAGAGAGAGATTGTCTAGTGTACTGCACTGGCATGAGAGGGCCCTGTGGCAGGGAACTGCTGGCCTCCTCTAGAAGTTGAGAGCAACTGTCAATCAACAGACAACAACAACAACAATAGCAACAAAAGGGAACAACAGTGCTACAACC